ACAAATTTCATGGGCGCATCACATCTGTCACATGAGCAGACATTCGAGACTTAAAATTCTCACCGTGATGATAATTTCTTTCTTAGCGTACTTCTATAATATTGAATACTTGATCTACGGATTATTTGGACCACTCATGTAATTCAATCCAAAACTTACTTAAATTGTGAGAAAGTCGTCGAGGTGGTCAAACAACCATATACAAAAAAGTTTGGGAAGAAACAAGAAGTGTTTGAGCTCAAGCATTCTGTCATTCACCTCATTAGAATTATGATATCGTCGAAATCTTTCTAAGTTTAAATGACCAAGGGCGGCTGTCAAAGCATGAGAATGCATACCGATACGTGTCGCCCAATGCTCGCAAACGTGACAGATATTTTTGTGTCACTGTATGTGAAACACAAAAGTATTTAATTCTCAACTAAATCATTTTCGTAGAAATAATATCCGATTTCGCAGATAGCGCAAAATTACATTTTGCATCAAACCCAAAATTTGCCTCAGCCAGAGCCAGAAAAGATTAAATAACAACTACTCTCGCTGTTTATTTTCACGACCACACCATGACCATGTCTTTTCCTTTTCTCACCGAACTAAAAATTCCTTAGCGGTATCATGAGATTATTGTCGAGCTGTTACTATGCTCAATATTGCCGAGCCTCCAGAACTTAGTCACGCACACGGTCTCGCCGAGCGATTGGTATGCAACACCTATATAGCGTATGATCTGAAACTATGCATAGAAAATACAATTGACGGCAATCCTGTACTGCTTGTTTGATAATTACGAATGATGCATGTTGTCAAAGTCTCACGAAGATAATTGTTGATCCAGTAAACTAGTGGGTCAGAAAATGGACTCTCTATAAGCATCTTGCTGACGCTCGACATTAAAAGTGATATAGATTTTTTCGGATTGCCGTGACGAGCTAAATGGTCGAAGTAGGGTTGCGCGTGTAATCGGAGCACAATTTAGCTTTGAGTATCACCACAATGCTGATAACAGTATCTTCGACATGCGCGGAGTCACGTTTTGCTCATCTATAAACCACTTTTGTATCGCTTGTGCTCCATAACTGGGATGTCATTATTTTCGTAAATTGCAATTGTGTTGCTGGGACGAATAAGTCACGATCCTCACCAGAGGTTTCCTCGAGCTCACAGGGTGCATCGCCTCTCGACATAGCCGAACATTTTTGTCAGCAAGTGCGACAAGCAGTGGAAAGAGACCAATTTGTAGCAGTGGCTGCACTTGCACCGCAGACCCTTTAGCCTTCTCGACTTCATTGCTTTCTTGCAATATCCTAGTTTTTTCGTCTCGTGAACCACTGTCGTCCAGGAGTCATTGTAAATTTGTTTGTCATTCAGCTCGATTTTTTTTTATATCCCATTTGACGCTCGAAGAGCACAATTCTAAGAATGGATCCAGTTTTCTGAGATTCGTCATATTTTCTGATGCTAATCGCGGCCTCGTTGGTATTCTGTTCATAAAAGTGCATTTAAAGACGAGAAACCCCAAAAATGCAGATCTGCTTCTTCAATCGTGTCAGCAACTTGCTCTTAAAAAATGCATTCAAAGACGGGACAAACCGAAAATGTTATTCTACCCAGAACTGGATCAAAACCTCTACCATGATCGCTCAATAAGTGCTTTCAAGTGTCACTACTGAGGTCGTTGGACTTTTCAGGACGGAGCAATGACTCTTACTGTCGACTGAACTGAAGAAAACTTACCAATGTTTGTTTGAATCTGTTTTCCGTGTATAAACGTCAGACAATTCATGTAACGGGCTTACACGTAGCCTTGAAACAGGTGTGTGTATCACACGAGATGTGCTTGGTGTGACTGTACCCAG